GCTGCTTTTTAAAGTACCAAGATGCTAGTTTTCTAGAGATAGATATGCAAAACTCTAAATTAAAGATTACCAGGCTGAGAATAAGTTTTTGGACTGAAGTTAATGTTAAGTTATCTTTGCAAAAAACTGTACATATTAGGTTACATAGGAGGTTCGCAATAGTCTCATTTTGAAGCCATGTTTAAATTGTATTTTAAAAAATCAAATAAAAAATTTTTATTTAATAATTTTTTAAAAATGGCCAAACATGAAAACATTAAGAATGATTTGTAAAAGTTTTAGGAAAATAATCCAGATGAACGAAAAACAGAAATTGCTGACCATTTTATAACTCTTGAGTATGCAAAATCAACTGTTTACTGCTTATTGGATTAAGTCTACAATCTTGAAAAAGTTCCGGTAAATTGACGAAATTTAAGGCAAAATACCTAAACTATTTCGTACCGTATGGAACCAGACGAACGTTCAGGTAAAATACCTGAACTTGAACTGGTTCAGGATTTTTACCTGAACCTGATATTATGCGTGAACCTGAACCAGTTCAGGTTCAGATAAAATATCTAAACCTTAACCTAAACCTGTTCAGGTTAAGTTATTTTACCTGAATGTTTGTCTGGTTCCATACGGCACAAAGTAGTTGAGGCATCTGTTGAAAGGTATAGCTTGACACTCTTTAACAATAAATATTTGGTCGACACTGTAATAAGTACCCAAAGCTATGACTAATGGATGCTTGTGAGTAAGGCTTTGAATGACATATTCCATTGGATTTGATGCCTATTTAGATGTAGAAAGGTAATTAAAATTATCTATTAAAAAAAATAATTTTGATACAAAATAAATATAAATGTCAGCTCATACAACTTAGAACTAATACTATAGTATTTAGAACTTAGAACTATTAGAACTAATACTATAGTAAATATATATATTTACTATATTTAATAACTAAACATACAGTGGAATTAAGAAAGGTGCTATACAATATATATATATATATATATATATATATATATATATATATATATATATATATATATATATATATATATATATATATATATATATATATATATATATATATATTTATAACAATTACATTTAATTTAATAAATTTAAAAAAATTATTTTTCATTATTTAGATATATTTGAAATGTTTATTTTAGCTAGATTTATTATTTAATTTTTTACATGATTCATTAGGAAAACTAATTACAATACTGAGTATTATTAACTCTCTTTTAACAAGCACGTGAACACCAAGATGTTAACTCATAGTTTTCAGTCTCTCTACTATGACCACATAGTAGAGAGACTACTATGTGGTCATGACCCTACTATGTGGTCATGATCTTCTTTTTCTTATTACCCATTACATACTCTGTATATGGGCTATAAAAATTTTCTTAAAAATATGATTTTTTTGATTAGATTTCATTACCTTATAGACAACTTGACATGTAATTGACAAATTGTGAAGATAAAAATACTGCTATTAATATATTTACTACTACTAATAATAATCCTCAAATGAAGTGGCCCCTTCGGCCTTGGGAAGGTAAAAAATAGTAGGGAAAAAAATTAATTAAATGTCTCTACATATCCAAGTTTTCCACCAGAATGCATCTTTGGAAAGGTAGTGGTAATAGCTTTTGCAAGATTAGGTTTGGTTTTTGTGAAAGGATTCTAAAACATATATATTAACGAAAATATTTTTATTGCCAAATTTATATTAAGCAAATGATTGATAATTATTTAAAAATAACTTAATAAAAACATTTTTTTTAATAAAAATGTTCAGTGTTACGTCAATAGTTCCTTAATATTACGAACATATTTCCAACTCTATGGACCATTGAGTTAACAACAATGTGGATCATATCTTGACGCCTTTTAATAAGTTCACCTGTATAACCATATTCTTCAAAAACAAGCTTACTTGTTTGATATTCATCAAACAGACTTGGTATCTGCTCATTATGCAAAATTGTGGTAAATTATCCAAATGAGCAAAAAATCAACTTTGTACCAAATTGGATCAATCCTGCAAATGTCCAAAAAAAGCACGGCCAAAAAAAAAGCACGGCCAAAAAAAAAGCACGGCCAAAAGAAGATTTATTTGGAAACTTAAAAAAATAAATTTTATAAAGGCGATTGGACAGGAAAGAATCTCAATAAGTTGAAATCTAAAATTATCTACTGTCTGTGGGAGAATGAATCTTGAGTTAGTACCCATGTTTTGGGTGTTAGGAAAAGGCTGGACCATATAAGAAGACATGGTATCTAATATTTTTTTTTTAATTTAAGTACTTAAGAAAAATATATTTTTTATTACAAAATTAAGGCTTTTTTTCTAGTCCAAAAACTTATTCATAGTCCGTTATTATTTGTGGTAGCATAAAAAATCAATGATAAATTGGATAAGAAACAAAAGTAATTAAAGTTCTTACCAATAAATATAATTATAAAATAAAGTTCTCAGCCATTAAATATTTGTTTTAAAATGTTAAGTGCAGGTTTTAGAAGAAGAAATAAATTTAAACAAGTAAGTTACACAACAATGTAACGATAATCGAGTAAACTTTTTTAAAGTTTTGTAAATATTAAAACCTTGATTTAGGCTTGAAAATTAATTTATTTGTTTATAAGTTGTTTTTATATATTTACTTATAGCTAGTTTAATTATTAAATGTTTAATTATTATGTTAATTTTAAGAATGTAACAACAGCTGTCTTCTAAAAATAGATTGGTTAAATAAAAAAGAATATAGGAAGTAATTCCCTCCTGAGCTTCTTTACTAACCTAAGTCCTTCTTCTTTACTAAATTGTTTAATAATTTACATTTTCTTCATAGTTATATAATTAATATTACTTAAAATTATACATAGTTCTTATTAGAAGAACTTTTAACCTGAAAATATTTATGTAAACATGTATGTGAAATGTACATATATATTTTCAGGCTTATTCTGTAAAATACTTAACAAGCTGATACCAATATATGTTTTTCCCTATAATATATGTACTAAGGCTTACAAACTGATTTATGCTACTTTCGGAAATAAAATTGCATGAAAAGTTTTTCACATTTAAAATATAGATAATGACCCCAGATTTAATTAATAATTTATTTAATTTTTTAACAGTATATTGGTAATAATAAATAAGTTAATGTAAAACAAAAACATCCAACAACATAAACGAAGTTTTATAGTTGTTAAATAAATGGTGTTAAAAATTAATTGTGTTTTAAAAAAATCGCGTTAAAAATAAACTGTTTTAAAAATCTTATAATGGAGCATACACACTAAAGCTTACCATGTAAAGGAAGCTTAATTTTAAAAAAATCTTATCAAATAAAATTTGTTCAAATCTATTTAAATCTTTCTTGTGTACATAATATCAAAATAGTTGTGTATACAACTGCACTAAATTGTATTTATTTTAGTATGCCTATTATAATTACGGTTCAGACATATCAATGGCTAGGATATCAGTTTATATTTAGGATAAGATATACAAAGACGTAATAATTTGTAAAAAAAAGTTTTAATCATAAACATTTACAATCTTTAAAGCATATTTTTTTTTTTTTTTTTACTCACATAATCTTTCAAATTCTTTAAAAGATTGTTCACATGATTAATTATTTATAAGTAATTCCCATAAAAATATTTGTAAGTAATTCCCATAAAAATTTCTGATGATTTGGATTATCTTTTCATAAAATCTAAAGTTTGCATACTGAGTTAAATTAGCGTTGAAAGTCAAATAGGCTTTTTAAAACATAATTTTCGTTTTTTTAAATTAACTTTTAAATAAGCATAAAGTTTCTATTTCTATTTTCCAAATTCATCTTTAATCGGAATATTTTAAGCTTTCCCTGAAAAATTAATAAGAAATTAAAATTATGTTTATTGTAAGTTTCTTTATGAAAGTCAGAATTTATTTATTCAAAATAAACAGCCTTATTTTCTTGTTCAGTTTATTGTTTGTAAAAAGAGTATTTTTTTTTACAAACAGTAAATATAATTGTATAAGTAACTGATTTTATTTTAATAATATGGTCTCTATTTATTTAGTTTAGTTAGGTTTAGATTCTATTTATGTAAATAGAACTATAACTTTTTTTTTTGCTACTGCCGAATACAAAAGTTATGTAGGAAAATTTTCGATTTTAATTTTTCTTATCGATCCCTAACAAGGTATTTGTAAAGGAAGGGAGGGGGGGGATTACTTAATTTATAATAATTTATAATATACACTGTTTTAATTATTGCTTTATTGCCTTATAATACAGAGCGTTGCGCCTTTTTTAACATTTGGTTTGTAGTTACAATTTGTGCGCAAATCCTATTAATTGCAAAAACTATTAACACGATATTTTGGATTTAACTTTTCTTAAGTGTAAAAGATGCGGTCATGCTTTATCTGCGCATGCTTTATCTGCGCAACCTTTAAAGTGCTAATAGGCTTTAACAAGTTATGTATTAATTGTTTTCTTTGTTTTATTTTTCTTATTTATAGAGAACTTGGGACTGGTATAATAATAATAATAATAACGTGCTGAAACAGGAGGAGATACTCCTGCGGAACCTGTTAGTTTATGACAGCCGTACTTTAGATTAAATATTTTAAGCCAAGTTACCTAACGAAAGTTTTCAAAATTATTTTGTTGATTTTAAAGGTGTATAATTGCATTAGCAGCAATTATAAAATATTTTAGAAATTTTTCATGTTCAATTTTTTTTTAAGTGAAAGGACATCTAAATATTTCTCAAAAGTGCGACTAAACATTCCTTAAAAATAAAAAAAAATTTGACGAATACTCTCAAGTTTTATCAATCGGTGTTTAAAATACCTCTAAATAATACCTCTAAATAACCACATAGTTGATTGCTTACACATTCAGTGCACTGTAATTTATTTTGATTTAATTTTTTTTTTTTTTAATTTTTCAACTTGTTCATTATTATAGGAAATTTTTTTATTTATTTAGTTTCTAATTGGAGAGTACCCCGTGATGTCGTTTCTATTAATTTATTTGTTGTTTTTGTTTATCGTCTTAACATGTTTTGTTCTCTTTCATCTGTTTTTGGTTGTTACTAATCGAACAACCAATGAGATTTTTAAATCAAGAAGCTCATATTCCATTGCACGATCAAATGCTAAAGTCGACGTCATGCAAATAAAAAAGTCGGATATATCCAATAATCGAAAACCAGCATTAAACGTAAATGGTTATTTTTTTAGCGTTTATAGCAAAGGCATTTTTAGCAATATTTTGGAATCTTTAAGGCCATAACAATACATTCAAATTACCTAACACAGTTATATTAATTAGTGAAAATGTGGAAAACTTTGATTTTAATATCAAATAATAATATTTGATATCATTTAAAATTAAAAAAAAAAAGTTGATATTGATATTACTGAAAACGTTCAAAGGAAATTGACAATCAGATTGAAGATTTAATACTGAATTTATGTTTTTTAACTGATTTTAATGTTTTAATACTGATTTTAGATTAGAATCAGTATAAAAATATAACATTTAGATGTTTATGACTTATTAAAAAATAAAATTTTGTAAATTAGAGTTTTATAAAAAGAAAAATGATGTTTTGACACCATAGTTTTTATATACATAATTTTTTATAGTATTTTGCTATTTACTTACGCAGCTAATAACTGACAAATCTTGTTATTTCTGTACTACAGTGAGAATATAAGTTAGAGTGTTATTTCCACCACCAACACTCCCCACCTCATCGCACCTCAACTTGCAAAAATTTGACTCACTTTTTTACTGAAAGATTTAGTTCTCAATAAGATTTTTATAATTTATTAATTGTATAATGTTATGTTTATTGTGAACGAATTAAATGTCGTTGCATAATATTTCTTCCGTTTTTATTGTAAAGTTTATTGAAGTTTAAATTCTTGAAATGATTAGTTTTTTAAAAAATTGTGCAATCACCAGATTTATTAAAAAAAAAAAAACAGTTTTTCAGTTTGTTTAGTAACCAATCGAAAAATAAACTTCGTCACTTTGATCGAAATGAAGTTGCATTTAGGAAAAAGTAGAAAATGTTTAGATAATGATCAAAACGTGCCAAGCTACAAAATTGCTTTGTTCGGTGATGAAAAAGTTGGAAAATCAAGTATTCTCAGGAGGCTTCAAAAAAAATCATTTTCTTATGAGTACGAACCAACTATTAGCGAAGTTTACGATATAAGTTTTAAATCTAGTGATGGTTTGGCTAGAATAATTACTTTTTTTGATACCTCTGGTTCAATAGAGTGCCCGCCGATGGCAAGACTTACAATGACAAAATGCGAGGCTAACATTGTTGTTTATTCTGTAACTTCCAAAAAATCTCTCGAAGTTGCAAACAGAAAATTAAACGAGATATCAAAAACCAAAGGGCCAGGAAGTGTGTGCTTACTTGTCGGTAATAAGTGTGATGTTGCTGCAAATGCAAGAGAGGTTTCTTTTGAATGTGGACTAAAATATGCTGTAAACAATAAGTGTGCTTATCTCGAAGTTTCAGCCTTAAAAAACATAAATATACTTAATGCTATCGATATAGTTGTAAAAAAACTTGTGGATTTAAATAGAACTAAAAAAAAGGTGTTGTCGCGATCAAAAAGCGATTATAATAAAACAAACGATAAAGGTTTATTTACCTATAGAAGGCGTTCGGTAAGTTTAACTCAACTTAATATAACGAAACAATCTGAGGATTTTCAACTTTAAAAATCATCAGATTGCGTTAGAGTTTTTATATTTAATCGTAGTTAAAATCAATAGAGCAAATCCACTTTTTTTTCATTACTTTTTAGCTTTTACGATTATTATTATGTGTTGTATTATTTTTTATACTAAATACATTTGTATACATTTCCTTCGAAAAATAATTTTTATGAAAGGAATGTTGTCGTCAAAACATCTTTTACAATTATTATTTATTTTTTTTTGCTGCTTGTTTTTGAAATTTAAAACATTTAAAAAATTATTTTTGTTTTATTCTACTACTCTTGGATAGTCGTCATAATTTTTCGACCTTATTAATAAATTAATGTCATGTAATTAGAGCCGTTACTAAGATATGCCCTATTAGCCCCTGCCAAAATAAAACAACAAAATAGTACAAAGTATTTTTCAAACCAATCGAAAAGCGTTTTTTCTAAAAGGCGCTTTATACACGTTTTACAAAGTCACATTACAGGTCATATCTTACATGAGAATAATTAAAAAAACTAATTAAACTAACCTGATAAAATATTAATTATTTTTACATACTTTTTTTATTTCAGTAGTTTATTGCCAATAACAATCAAAAAGTTTACTTTTTAAACTACTATTTAATCTTGAACTGGATAATAACAAAGATTTTTACAAATTATTTTAGATTTCATTAGTTTATTTTTATTTAGTGTTGAAAATTTTCGCAAAATTTTCGGAAATTTTCAATCCTAATAATTTGCGGAACAAGTATCAGAACAAACAAACTATAAATTTGTTTGTTTTTTATTTCTTCTGTTACTTGTTCCGCAAAATATTATGGTTGAAAATTTCCGGAAATTTTGCGGAAATTTTCAACTACTTTTATTTGAAGAAAATAAATGCTAAAATCAGGAATCGTATCTTTTTAACTTGTTATCTTATGTAACTTATGTAACTTTTATCTTATGTAACTTATGTAACTTTTAATCTTGTCAACTGTTTAAAAAGTTAGTTTTTTTTTTAAGGCAAAATTTTTTTTTTTTAAACATAACTTATGAATAAATTACTTTCAGATTAGGTATGATTAATTATTTTTTCTTACATATGATAAGTTAAATACACAACATTTAGAAACATACTTATAAGCTTACATATGATGATATTAACAACATTTAGAAACATAAAATGATACCAATACAGCATAAAAGTTGAATAAAACAAACTTTCATAAGTTGTTCATTCTCATCAAATTCCATTTTTTTCTTTCCTTTTTAACTTATTCTCAACTCTTCGTTAAGCTTAATGGAACTTTTGTCTGAAGTTTCATTACAATATTTCTAAATGAAGAAATGACAAAAACCTTATTTAAATTTTTAAAAATAAAACTAATGCTTAAATAAAACATTTTTAAAAAATTATATTTTTAAAGAACTTTTTTTATTAATGTAGTTAAAAGAAATTTTCTACTAACGCTCCGTTAAGCTTAACGGAGAGATAAGAATACGGCTGCAGTCCTCTTTAGTTTTTAGGCTTAGGGCGTCCGTGGCGTAGTGGTTAGAGCGTTTGCTTTATAAGCAGGAGATCCAGGTTCGAAACGAACTCTGGACATATTTTCGCGTCACGGTAAGGAAGGAGGCGTGAACTTCCTGGTTAAATGCACTTCTGCGGTGCTCTCAGACAAGACCGTTAGGTCTTCTTGGGGCACCTAATTAAAAAAAAAAAAAAGACTCATCCATGTTCTGCAAAAACTTAGTAATACTTGGAAGGAGAAATAATTGTATCATTTTTGGGGGCATCTATAAATAGAAAAAATGAAAGGAAACAAAGTAAAACCTTCGAAAATATTTCTTTTTGTGCATACAACTGCCAAAGTTTTAAATCGAACTCATTATATATTACTGAACTAGTCAAATCATTTGATATAATCTTTCTATCGTAGCATTGGTTTTTGAATATTGAACTATTTTTTCTAAAAAACATAGCATTGCCGATACATAACCTATTTTTTCATGCGGCAGAAAAGGTAAAAATATGTGTCTAAATCTAGTTTTTATTGGTATTTATCTTAAATCATGCCAAAATATCGAAGAATCCCCTTTAAAGTACATCCAACAATTAAACCTAATTACGTCAATCATAAAAAACTACGAAGAATTTAATAAATGCATTATTGCGGGAGATTTTCAATCATACCCCGAAACAATATACGATTCTGAGAATCGTAATAATAAAACACGCAATAAGCTCTCCAAGCATCTAACTAGTTTCGCAATAAGCTCTCCTTTATCGATATAATCAGTGGCGCTGGTCCAACATACACCTATCAGCATAAAACTCTCTTTAACTCATTGTATATAGATCATATCGCAGCTCTAAAAGAGTCATCCTTATCTTTTTTAAATACCAAAATTATTCCTCCTTCGCTACAAATAATGTTGTTACACACATAAATCTGTCAACCGTAATAAATAATGTAATTTCAAAATATAACCGTATTCCAAATTATGCATGGGGTAACAAAAACTTTATCGACATATATAATCATAATCTTTCTATAGCTTTTGATAACTACACCTTAACGATAAAAAAATGGAACAAGAGTTGATGCAAACATGCAAAATTAATAAAAATGCTGCTTTATTAGCAGTTACGCAGTGCTTTGAATAACGAAAAACCTGTATATATTAAAAGCCGTGGTGGACAGCAGAACTTAAAAAATGCAAAGAACATCTTTCATTTAGCTTTAAACAATGGCAAAAATCTAGCTATAATAAATCACACGAATGTATAGCATACAAAAGATACATCCTTGCACGTTAAAACTTTCGAAAAGCGGTTAAAGCAACCCATAACAAAAAAATCTATGAAAAAACGATAAATATTGAAAATCTACAAACTAAAAATCCTCAAAAGTTTTGGGACAATATTCGTAAAATCAAAACCAAAGCAAAAACTCGGTTATTTTCGATTAATAATTCGCAAAACATAAAAGATATTGTTAGAGTTCAAACAACATTTTTGAACTTTACTGAAAACGCCGCTCATTACAAATAACAACCATAATCCTCTTAAAATTCCGCCTCTAAGTAATGAGCCTATTTCACTAATTATTACATCAGCTGATATTATATACTGCATGTCACAACTAAATAATAATAAGTCCCCAAATAGCTTTGGGGTAACTTCTGAACACCATAAAAACTGTCATAATAACAATCTTTTTTTGTGGCTATCTAAATTTTATAACAGCATTCTAACGAATGGAAAATTACCAAAAGATTTATCAACTTCAATAATTATTCCACTTGTTAAGTCATAAAAAAAATCTCTTAATAATCCAGATAATTACCGTGGAATTAGTATTTTAATATACTAATTCCACGGTAAATGACGATAAATGGCATCTATACTGGTGTCATTGCATACGCAGATGATGTAATTTCAACAATCTCTGGTCTGCAAGAACTGATTGACAGGTTTCAAACATATGGAGTATTAAACTTTATCAAGCTAAACACTGAGAAAACGGAATTTCTGATCTCTGGTAAAAGTTCAATTTCCAACAACATTATTCAAATTAACGGAACTTATATACATCTCCAAAATAAATTAAAGCATCTGGGTTTCCAATGAGATACCAACAAAAACACTTCAAAAAACAAATCTAAATGAGCGCATAACGCAGTTTCAATCGGTTGCTCTAATTGACAGTGGAATTCGTTTTTGTCAGCCGTCAACATTAGTCCATTTATACAATACCTTGACAGTGCCAAAGCTTATATATGGCCTTGAGCTATGGAACTATGACATTAGTTTTCTAAGAAACATAGACGCTGTTGGAAGAGCAGTTTTAAAATCATTTTATTGTATTTTAAAGTAAAGCAAAAATTACCTACATTCTTTTTTTAAAATAGATATTTCAACTACTCTTCTTCGAAATAAAGTAAACCTATTAATGAAAATCAATTGTTGAAAAAAATTGTTGAAAATCAATGGTTAATGAAAAATCAAACTTGCTATTCCCTGATAATCAATTACTGACAACACAAAATAAAAAATCATTTATAAACGAAGTGATTGCTATATGTAAAACTCGTGGCTTGAACATCTTTCAATGCATGATAGAAGGTAAAAAAATTAAATTCACACTACCTCAAGAAGAACTGCAAGCTGATACTATATCAATATTAAAAGAAGAGTTCCAATTATGGAACTTAAAAGAACAAAGAGAAAAATTTAAAACAATGATGGAGGAGAATACTCCTAAAATAGATCTAACCGTCTAGTCGGTCTAGTTATTGGCATTAAAGACAAATAATTGGAGAGCCAAGACTGGCCTTAATTTAATTTGTAACTGTTTTAATATAAATTAATTTACCTGTAATTTTATTACTGGGTGTTTAAGAGGAAATAATAATATAAAGTACGTAATAAGCATTATTTAATATAAAATCAACCCCACTCCTTTCCTAATGGATAAAATTATAAAACATTAAAAACAAAATTTTTTAGAAAACTCAACATTTCTCTGTTACATAACATAGTACGCATCTATACGTTTTTGAGTAACCCTTCCATCACCCCGTACCTGTGTACGCACATTATAGGAGACCCCAAACTTTGAAAGTTATTAAATATTACTTTGATTTATACTATGTTTCCAGTTTTCTTCAATTTTACAATAGCTTGTTCAGGTGGAAGATACAAGTTTTACACTTTCTTTCTTTCCTCTGCTTTAAAGTGAAGCACTAGTAAAATCCATTGCGGATTTGGTTATTTCTCTATCCTTTTGAGTTTCTTTATAGCTTCTTTTATACAGTTCTGGTCACATACCCTAGAACTACATAGAAAAGAAGTTTAAAATATTATGCAATCTTTTTTTGCCAACAAGTAATCAACATAAAAATCTACAAACTGGCTATAACTGTTTTTAATGTACTATCATTAATTCTATATCTAATTATATGTTTTCAGGGCCGGCGCGAGTAGGTGTCACGTGGAGGGTGCCATTACAACTTATGCCGACTAAT